AATCAACTTCCCCACATAGCTCTCCGACCTTCTGTGTGCGAAAAGCAACAGGAGGGTGGCGGATAGTGCACGCGTTCAACAAATTGAACGCTGCAACGGTACCGGCTCAGACGCCGATACCGAGGAAGGACGTAATCATTGATGGTATGTCAAAGAGTACCATCTTTTCGTCCATGGATTTGATGGATGGCTTCTATCAAATCCTAATGCGGGAACGGGATATACCCTATACCGCAGTTAGCACGCCTAGCGGCATGCTCTGGGAATGGCTAGTAATGCCACAAGGGCTTAGTAATGCCCCTGCCACGTTCAACAGATGTGTATCACATCTGTTGAGACCAGTACGAGAATTCGCGCCGAGTTATTTCGATGACGTATTCATCCATTGTCGAGCTATGGATGGAAAGTCGGATGTTGAGGTTCACAGGTACCACGTCCGACAGGTTCTTACAATCATGCGAAAGCATCAATTGTATGCAAACCTCAAGAAGTGTATATTTGCGGCAAGCGAAATACCACTTCTTGGGTGCATCGTTGGTAAGAACGGTGTACGTCCTGATCCCGAAAAGATCAAGGCGATCACCGACTGGCCTGTGCCGGTCGATGTCAAAGGTCTTCGAAAATTCCTTGGGCTAGCGGCGTATTTGCATAAGTATTCACGCAATTACGCCGAGATGACTGTGCACCTCTCTCGTTTGTTGAAAAAGAACGAGAGGTGGTTATGGAACGCTGAATGTCAGCGCTCCTTTGAGGGTTTCAAGCAGAGCTTGATACAATCCCCAGTCTTAGCAATAGCCTATCAGGACAGGTCATTTCATGTGGTCTGTGATGCCAGCGATTTAGCAATCGGCTGTGCATTAATGCAGTACGATCTTGAAGGCGTTGAACGCGTCGTCTGCTATCAGTCGCGTCAGCTGCAACCAGCTGAGCGGAACTATCCAGTGCATGACAAGGAACTCCTTGCCATGAAGTATGCACTCGCGAAGTTCAGAGTCTATCTATTAGGAGATAGACCCTTTATTGTTTACACTGACCATGCGTCATTACGCACGGCAGTGAACAGCCCGCACCTTTCACAACGAATGGCGCGGTGGTTGTCATTCTTTGCGGAATACAACTTTACGGTAGAGTACAAACCAGGACGACTTAATGTCGTCGCTGATGCACTCTCACGTCGTCCCGACTTTGAAACAGTCGCGAAACCCAACAGTGAGACAGTCACTGTTGCGGTTATGACGTCCTCAGTCCCATCTACAACGTTGCATGATGATGTGAGGCGGGCATACGCCCAAGATGGTGAGATAGTGAAGTTGTTGGCACATCTCTCCCAACCATCTCGAGAATCGTTGAAACGATTATCGTCTGCGTATCGATCTGCATCAGATCGATACACTACTCGCAACGGTTTACTGTATTATACAGCCGTTTCTGGTGACACACCACGTGATGTCATTCCAGATGATACTGATCTGCGTTTGCGGATCATGTTCGAGTATCACGATGCTCCTATAGGAGGACATCGTGGTCGGGAGAAAACATATCTCACGGTGAGTCGAGACTTTTACTGGCCCCGCCAGTATCAGTTTGTGCGGAAGTACGTTCGCGCATGCGAAGTCTGTCAACGAGTGAAGTCAAGTCCTTCACTGCGTGCACCTTTACAGCCTCTACCGGTTCCGGCTGAGTGCTGGGAATCCATCTCAATGGATTTCGTCTTCGGGTTACCCAAAGACGCACGCGGGAATACGGGTATTCTCGTATTTGTTGACAGATTCAGCAAAATGGTACACCTTGTGGCTGTACCAGAGACATTCACGGCAAGTGGCTGTGCTTGTGTCTTTATTGACACCATCTTCCGACTTCATGGGTTGCCCCGTGAACTCGTATCAGACAGAGATCCACGATTCACTGCTGATTTCTGGCGTTCCGTGTTCAAATCACTCGGAACGCACTTGAAGATGTCAACATCTGATCATCCAGAGTCAGATGGTCAGACGGAACGTGCCAATCGTGTCCTTGAAGAGATACTTCGAGGATACGTACACTCCTTTAAGAGTTGGAGTGAATTTTTGCCTATGGTAGAGTTTGCCATCAACAACTCGGTGCATGCGTCCACGACACATACACCGTTTTACGTGAATGGCTTGCGCCATCCGCGTGTACCCACCTTACTAGAGTGTAACTCTGGTTTAAGGGGGGGGAGGGACTCGCGCGAGCAAAAACCGATTTGGTTCACGCTCACCACGCTCTGACGAAGAAGTCATTGCGTTTGATGCCGATATCGATAACATCGATATCGAAGAAGATGATGCCAGTGAGAGTGCGGAAGCCCTCACTAAAGACAATGATCCCAGTGAGAGTGCGGAAGCCCTCACTGAAGACAATGATCCCAGTGAGAGTGCGGAAGCCCTCACTGAAGAAAAGGTTGTTGTTGCTGCAGTGCGCTCACAGCACACTGAAGCTAACGAGTCATCAGATGAGTTCATACTGGCTCGTGAAACGGTAGTCCGTTTTGTGCAAGACTCCATCGCCGAAGCGGTGGATAAGCAAAAGCAAAACGCTGACAAGAATGGAAGGGCAAACACTATTTTATTTAATAAAGGTGACTTAGTCCTACTGTCTACGGTTAATCTACCAAAGCATGTAGTGACTAACTTGGGTAGCAGTAAACTACTACCCAAGTACATTGGCCCATTTCGTGTATTGCACCGCCTAGGCAATGCATACACGATCGAGTTACCACGTAAGATGCGAACGCATCCCACGTTTTACGTTGGTCGGCTTAAGCCGTACCATCAGTACGCTGCTTCTTCCGATGAAGAACGCCCTTGCGCTCAAGCATCTCGCAAAGAGCCTTGTGCTCCCGATGGTGGGCATCAACAAGGGTCTGAAGAGCAGTTATCTCAGCCCGAGACCGATCAACAATCCCACGAGCTACCCTTAGCTCGTCACGAAGAGATGTCAGAGATCTCTCGTTCTCGAGCTGAGCAAAGGCAAACTCAGCTCGATGCTTCGAGGCAGTGTCCACCATTTGGAGACGCCTATTCCGCTCATGCTCGAGATCGTCGCGTAACCCTTGCGTTACGCGATCAAAGAAGCTCTCAGGAACACACCGATCCACATGATCGTGTGGAGAGCGTCTTTCCTCCTCCTCCACCTCCATTAGAGGACTCTCGCGGTGGCCAGCGCTATCTAGTTGAGCAGCTGTTGAACCACCGCGACGTGAACGGACGTCGGACGAGTTATCTCGTCCGGTGGCGCGGCTATCCCCCGTCCTGGGATTCTTGGGAGCCCCGCTCCCAACTGATGATCGACGTACTGGGTCTGGTTGAGCAGTACGACGCGGCACATCCTGTGCCGCAGAAGGACCGCCGGAGAAAGTCTTCCCGGCACGGTCGTAAAGGGATTTCAGGTTGTCAATCCCTTCGTACATCTCAGTAGAGATACGTACGCGCCACCACGGGCTGGTAAGGAGGTAAGCCTCCTTAGGTGCTCGCGCAGAGTTGTTCACACAACATGGGCACGAGTCTCCCCAAGAGAGGCAGGGTAATCCTTTCTCCCTTGACAGACGATGCAGCTTGTAGCGTGCACCTGTCGGGGTTCGCTTTTCAAACTTATCACGAGCTTTGATAAGTTTGTCGTTCCAAGCGTCACGACCTACATCCTCGAGGTTATGGATGTAGGCGTTCCACGCTTGAAGTAGTGAGGGACCATCACGCTTGTGGTTCCCACTGTACCATCGATGTCTGAAGAAAGCATCGATGAAGAATTCGTGTTCAGCGCGATAGTTTTTCGCGCTGGGGTCAAGGTGATGGATCCTTGACGAATCGAACAATCGTGCTCGATAACGATCACTCATCGTCGCCGACAAGTGATCCATGACGGATTTCGGAGGCATCCATGCCTTCTTTTCTGGAGCGAGACGCAACACATTGCGGTCCCGCTCTTCCTGCGACGTGCCGACAGAAGTACTGGCACCTCGCTGTGAAGTGGTGTCCATTGGAGAACCGACACCACTATTAGCGCCCGAGTCTCGCGACCTCGAGCGCCTTCGCTTCGGCGATGGTTCATCTGATTCATCAGATGAACCAAAGATGCTGCGACGCAAAGCATCGTCCATGCCACGCTTGGCTGGCGGCTTAGATTCAATCGCCGTCGATACGGATCCGTCATCCGTATCAGGAGAGTACGAGACACCGAGCTCGTACTCTGTGAAGACACGAGTGTCTTCATGACCAGCGCCTGCGTCACCAAGTGACACAGGCTGAGTCGCTTCAGCAACCGATGGGACATCAGTTGCTGTTGTTTCTGCTTCGGCGTCCGCACAGAGACGTGTAGACGCGCTCTCGGCGGCCTTGCTCGCGCATCGCATGGGCTTGTTAACCATGCGATGAGATGTTGGAAAGTGGACGCGGACCAACAAGTGCAAACCCTGTCCCAAATGATTTGGGACGAGTATCCATTTAGTCAATCAGTCACTAAAGTGACTGATGGTTAGGGGGGGTGATGTAACGGGGTGAATCGTTACATAACAATTTATAAGAAATTGTTAATAGAAAATAACCACAAGAGTTATATTCTCAGAATATTGTCATAAGGACAAATATTCTGTAGCACTTACAAGTAGTTCCTAATTGGTTGATATAGGCCATTATATCAACCAACGAAGACGCGCCACGACAGACGCACGCAATGAGTGGTGAGCAGATAACTGATTTACACATTTGTATTTAGACATAGTTAGATGAAGATAAATAGTGATTTATTGCAGACATTAACTATTATAAATACAGTTCTACTTTTTACTCTAACCAAGTACTCGCTTCTTCTAACCGTCTTCCTCTGCACGTACGAGTGTACGTGAAGTTACGAGGCACCGCCTTATTCTGTTATCAGAATAAGTAGCTTGTACTGTCACCAGTACAAGCTTCAGGGTGCCCCGTTACATCACACGTGAAGGCTACTCCCATCTGAGTGACTCAGAATGGGACGTAGTCGGCCGCATGAGTGTGCTCATGGGCGAACCCGCCATCGGTGGTATGTTCGAGTCTCTAAGCAGAGACCAGCAACATGCTGCTATCAACAAGTTCCTACAAGGGGAACTGGCCGCCGAATGACAGAAGATAGCCTTGCTACAGCAGAAAGGCTCTCATCAGTCGATGGGCGGACCGACGCACATGCGTCGACCCAAAACCTTGAAGATTGATATCTGAAGGTACAAGGGAACCGATAAAGATTCCCTTTTGAAATGGTTCGTCGAGTTAGACGACGCAATCAGGGCCCGTCACATCGAGGGTGACGAGATGCAAGTTACCTTCGCCCTGTCAAATTTGACGGAACGAGCAAAGACTTGGGCCTTAGGGCTCAAGCTGCACGACCCAAACGTGTTTGAGTCGTTAGAGATCTTGAAGTCTCGGGTCAAAGAGACGTTTGAGCCGCCGAGAGCCGAGTTCAAAGCACGCTCTGCACTCTTTAGGCTAAAGCTAGGTAAGTTTGACGTGCACGCTTACGCACAGCACCTGCGCTACCTTGCGAGTAGCGTTACAAAGAGCCCTGTTGATGAGCACGCGCTCATCAACGTGTTCATCTACGGAGTTGTAGATGGGCAGGTGAAGACCTACATGTTCCGAGAGGATTTCCATGCGCTGGAAGGGCGATAGCGTATGCGGAACAAGAAGACTTCAGCCTGAGACAGTCTCAGGATAACTCGTCAAACTATCGTCCGACGAGACGACAGGAAACAGGAGGTCCCGCACCAATGGAACTCTGTTACATCGATAGCGAGAACTCTCGCTCTCTGAGTCCCAAGCGAACGGCAAGATGCCATCGCTGTCAGAAGATCGGACACAACGCTCATGAGTGCAGTGTCCCGAGTACCACAACACGTCCAAAGACAGGACGTGACGACCACCGTTGGCCGAGGAAAGGTCCGAGGCGTGGGTCCGACCATATCGCTAAGCGCGACAGCAAGTTGGACCGTCAAAAACGGTCAGGGTCAGTAGGGGCGGAGCACCCTGCTGATCCAGCAACGTCAAGAGATTTTGCAGGACTTTGACAAAGACACCTCATCACCAAAGGCAGTAACACACAGAGACTGTGTGTTGCTGCCGTTGGTGATGAGGTGTCTGTTATCACTTTGAAGATCGAAGTGACAAGTGGAATGTTACCGCGCGCCCTAGTTGGGTGTGGGGCGTCGAGCAGATTTATTCGACGTCATTCGCCAGAGGATAGTAGACTTAACTATGTTGAGCAAGATATCCCTCTAACGAGGATGGCGGTGTGCCTTGCTACAGGCGCATCCGTAACAGTGACCAAACAAGTAGTAGAAATCCACTACACTCTAGAAGTAAAGCAGTACGATGACGACTTCATCGTGATGGATCTGGATGACAAATTTGATGTCATCCTTGGTCTGTCATGGCTTCGAAAATGCCAGCCATGGATCAGTTGGCAGCACCGATCCGTGAAGATGCCTGCCACTTGTTCAATAGATGGCCATCTGCTGAACGTCTTGGAGCGTCCACAAGCGTGTGGATGTACTGCAAAGGAGTGAGATGACCCCGCTTTTGTGGTACGGTCGTTAGCAAGATTTCACAAGATCACAGTGCAGAAGGCCACTGCACTGTGGAACCAGCTTCAGGCACCTGTGTAGAGACACAGGCTGCGCCGAAGGCTCACCACTCGAAGAGATCGAGTGGACTGGAACACGGATGCACACCAAGAAGGGTGCATCCGAGAAGAGAGATTAGTGTTGTTCAGGATGAACAACACATTGAAGCGAGACCGACTAGCAGATAGTCGATCGTAGAGCAATCCCGCTCGACTGAAAGAGAGTCGATCGAAGAGGACGAGACCGTGATAAGACACGTAACGAAAGAAAATTACGGCGTTCCTGAGAGCAATAACTCCCGAGAGAGTTATGTTGAGTGTGTGGATCCCCAACCACCTGCGGATGTGTTTTCCCAGGAAATCACCGAGTCAGTGAATGTCTTGGTGAATGACGGATCAAATGCTGGCGCTTATACACTTGATCTGGTTACTCCCCGAAGTCAGCTTCGGAGGTAGTCAAGTTGCCTTTGCTAGAATCTAAACGATTCTTGCGAGATCTGCGAAGTGACAAGATCAAGCAGATCTGCGTACTCGTCACAGAGGACGAGTACGTCCCCAATATTCGGTCGACAAAAGTGTTTGCTGAGAACGAACGGGTTCTAAGTAGTCCATCTATAGACGAGAGTGTCCTCGATGAGAAGACCCGGATTGAGCGACACACGTCTCAATCTTGGGAGTCTTTAAAGACAAACACTTTGCATAAGGATTTGGATGAATTCAGGGATGTTTTCCCGGAATCCGTGCCATGCGAGCTGCCCAAGGACAAAGACACTCGGCATGAGATTGAACTGAAACCTGGTTCGAAATACTGTGTCATTAAACAGCAGCCACTGCCTCGTGAACAGGTCACATCGATCGACAAATTCTTTGCCGATTGCTTAGCGGCTGGTCATGTGAGGGAATCAACATCCCCACACAGCTCTCCGACCTTATGTGTGCGAATGGCCACAGGAAGGTGGCGAATAGTGCACGCATTCAACAAACTGAATGCTGCAACGGTACCGGCTCAAACCCCGATCCCGAGAGAGGATGTCACCATAGATGGTATGGCAAAGAGTACCATCTTTTCGTCCATGGATCTGATGGATGGATTCTGTCAGATCCTCATGCGTGAACGGTGTATTCCTTACAAAGCAGTGAGCAACCCCAGTGGTATGCTCTGGGACTGGCTAGTGATGCCACAGGGGATAAGTAACGCCCTGCAACGTTTAACAGATGTGTTACGAATCTGTTGCGATCGGTGCGCGATTTCGCACCGAGTTACTTCGACGATGTCTTCGTCCATAGCTGGGCTATGGATGGAAAGACGGAAGTGGAGGTTATAGAATTCACGTCCGGAAGATTCTTACACTTATGCAAAAGCATAAGTTGTTTGCGAACCTCAAGAAGTGTACATTCGCAGCGAACGAAATACCACTTCTTGGCTGCATCGTGGGTAAAAACGGTGTGCGTCCTGATCCGGAGAAGATCAAGGCGATTAGCGACTGGCCTGCGCCACTCGACTTCAAGGGACTTCGAAAGTTCCTTGGCTTGGCGGCGTACTTGCACAAATACTCGCGCAACCATGCTGAGACGACTGTACATCTCTCTCATCTGCTAAAGAAAAACGAGATATGTTCATGGAGCACTGAGTGTCAGTACTCATTTGAAGGCATCAAGAAAAGCTTGGTGCAATCGCCTGTGTTGGAAATTGCTGATCAGGATAGATCGTTCCATGTGGTCTGTGACGCCAGTGATTTTGCAATCGGCTGCGCGTTAATGCAGTACGACTCAGACGGCGTTGAGCGCGTCGTCTGTTATCAATCGCGTCAGCTGCAAGCAGCTGAGCGAAATTACTTGGTGCATGACAAGTAACTCCTTGCCATGAAATATGCACTGACCAAGTTTCGTGTATATCTCTTATGAGATAGGCCCTTCATCGTTCATACCGACCATGCGCCGTTACGCACGGCCGTAAACAGCCCACACCTCTTGCAACGAATGGCGAGGTGGCTGTCTTTACTCGCGGAGTTCAACTTCTCTGTCAAGTATAAACCAGGACGACTTAATGTCGTCGCTGATGCTCTTTCGCGTCGGCCCGATTTCGAGCCGTCTGCTCAACACAACAGTAGGAGTGATCCCACTGTAGCAGCAATAACAGTGATTGTTCCATCGTCGAATCTGCTCGATGACGTGCGAAAAGCAAACACAGAAGAAGAGTCTCTTCTGCGATCGATGGATTACGTATCCAATCCGTGCAGTCACGCTTTGAAAAGCTTGTCGTCTCAATACCGCTCTTCAACCGAACGGTATTCTGTTCGTGATGAACTGCTGTACTATACAGCAGTCAACGGCGACACACCTCGTGTCGTCGTTCCCGCTCATGATGATTTGCGGATGCGCATCATGTATGAGTGTCACGATGCCCCACCTAGTGGGATCGCGGTAGAGAAAAGACTTACCTCACGGTGAGTCGTGACTTCTACTGCCTCGCCAGTACGAGCTTGTGCGGAAATACATTCGCGCTTGCGACGTTTGTCAACGGGTGAAGCCTAGTCCTTCATCCCGCGCACCCTTGCAGCCTTGTCCGATTCCGGCAGAGTGTTGGCAGTCCGTATCGATGGACTTCGTCTTCAGGTTTCCCAAAGATGTTCACAAGAATACTGGTATTCTTGTGTTTGTTGATCGGTTCAGCAAGATGGTACATCTTGTTGCTGTACCTTAGTCAATCACAGCCCAGGGCTGTGTGCGTGTCTTCATCGATACTATCTTCCGACTGCACGGGTTACCCCGTGAGGTCGTGTACGAAAGGGAACCCCGCTTCACAGCGGATTCTGGCAATCCGTGTTCCGTTCACTTAGAACACGTTTGACGATGTCAACTTCTGACCATCCAGAAATAGATGGTCAGACGAACGCGTCAATCGCTTCCTCGAAGAGATACTTCGAGGGTACGTCCACTCGTTTGCGAGTTGGAGTGAGATCTTGCCGATGGCGGAATTTGCCATCAACAACTCGGTGCACGCGTCGACAACGCATACACCGTTCTTCGTGAATGGCCTACGCCGTCCACATTTACCCGCCTTCTTAGAGTGTGACTCTAGTTTAAGGGGGGGTGGACTCGCTCGAACAAAAACCGATCTGGTTCTTGCTCATCACCCGTTGACAATGAAGTCTACGTGATGGATGCCGATGTCGATGCGATCGATATCGATGATGATGATGACGACGATACTGGTATATTCAGCATCGCCAATGACTGCCAAAGTGAGGACGATGACGCCCTCACTGGTGAAAACAATGTTCTTTCAGCAGTGCACACGAAGCCGACTGCTGTTGACAAGGAGGAATCAGCAGAGGAATTTCTGCCGACTCGCGAAGCAGTTTTCCGCTTCGTTCAAGACTCTATTGCAGTAGCTAGACAGACAAAAAAGAAACGCAGACAAACAGGAAGAGCAATGTTCTTTCATTTGATGCAGGAGGCCTAGTTTACTGTCTACCGTAAACCTACCGAAACACGCAGTGAAAAACGTGGGCAGCAGTAAATTACTGACCGAGTACATCGGTCCATTTCGTGTGTTGCGCCGAATGGGCAACATGTACACGATTGAACTGCCCCGTTAGATGCGTACGCATCCTACATTTTACATTGGTCGTCTCCGCCCGTACTATCAGTACGAGCCCATTTCGAGATGCGAAGAACACCTCCGCGGTCGAGAGTTGAGACCACCTTCGAGTGGTCCGGTTCAACAAGCCATTCTGGTCGACTAGCGAAGCAACCTGTTTACGCAGCTCAGCGATGTCTCGACGAGCTGCAGCCAGCTTGTCACTAAGAGAACAAGTCGAAGGTTCGTTCTCAAGTTTCTCGAACGCAAAAGCGGCACGATCGTCCGAACGATCGTGCCCTACGGATTTATGATTATCCCTCACAAGATCCTTAAGCCCGTAATGCCAAGATCGTCCATGAGCCAGGTCATCTTGCAACTGTTCGTCAGACGGTTCAGCTCTTGACTATCAAGCTGATCCTACCCTGGAGCCGGATCAGGTTTTTCCGCCGCCACAACATCCTTTGGTGGACTCAAGCGGTGGTCAACGCTTCCTAGGGGAGCGTGTTTTGAACCACCGTGACGTGAAAGGCGTTTGGACATGCTATTTCTTATGCTGGCGTGGCTATCCATCGGTGTGAGACAGCTGGGAGCCTCGTGCTCAGGTGATCGTTGATTTCCTTGGTCTCGTCGAGCAGTACGACGAGACCCACCCGCTGCGTTTAAAGAAGGGCCGTCGGAAAAAGACCTCCCCGAACGCGAGTACAGAGATTGCAAGGTGTAAATCCTTTCAGCCATCTCGTAAGAGATGCGCGCCCTCCTGTAGGGATCACTAGGGAGGTAGGCAACCCTAGGGGCACGGATCGATTTATCCAGGCAACCTGGACACGAATCACCCCACGAAAGACAGAGTATTTCTGCCTCTTTTGAAAGCCGGTACAACTTGTATCGCGCCCCGACTGGGTTGCGTTTCTTAAACCTGATGCGAGCTGCATCAAGTTTGGCGAGCCAAGCGTCACGGCCAATACACTCGATGTTGTGGATGAGAGCATTTCATCCCTGCACAAAGGCTTTGCCGTCCCGAACACAGCTACTAATGTACCACCGATGTTTAAATGACGCATCGGTGAAGGACTCTTCCTCAGCACGGATAGTTTCCGTGCTGGAATCAGGTAAGCAAAACTTCCTGCAATCGAACAACGGGATTCGATCCCGTTCAGTAGTCATGTCGGTCAACCGTTCCAACTCTCTGGATGACGGCATCCATGGAGACTACACTTGGGGAGCGTGGTGCAGAACATTTCGGTCCCTGAACTCTTGATTGGTACCAACATGAGCACTGGCACCAGTGTTACCCCGATCCCTCGAATTACTTCGCTCGTGGTGATGTATAGGTGCATCACCACCATCCCCACGAGTCTGTGGTAAAGTCGATCAATATCGGTGTCGTAAAACCTCAAAAGTATGCCTAAGTACGGAGTGGGGACTGGCGGAACGATCGCGGGACGAGGACCAATCATATGGAAGGCACCGTTGGGATCATTCACGGAAATATCTCATCCGGTCAGAACGGGTCAGAACGGTTTAAAACGGCGAAAGGGACCGCAATTGAGGGACCGCGATCTGGGGACCCGAATCAGGGAACCGCGATCAGGGAACCGCGATCAGGGGCCGCGATTGAGGGAACGCGATCAGGGAACCGCGATCAGGGGCCGCGATCAGGGGACTGCGATCAGGGGACCGCTATCAGGGGCTGCGATCAAGGGACCGCGACCTGGCGTGGACCATGCCCTGATGCGATCAGACGGTTGGTGTGTCAGGTCTGTGCCACATGGATACAAGGGGCGATCTGTAGAGGCGACGCAAGGAATCTGATTTCCGAGTTATAGGGGTAAGGTGTGAGGGTCTAATTGGTTAACATTAAACAGAGTTCAATTTTCTTCTAAACACATTCGTGTCGATCTTCTCCCGGGTTGGATATTTTGGCCTCCCGACGTCTGAGAATCTCGACATCAAGGATAGAACGATCACTCCTGGAGCTATTTGGCCAGGAGTGCTAGGACTCTCAACACACCCCTACTGCGATCGGACGCAGCCAGCCGTATCGGTTGAAGTACAAGATCGCGAGACGGCTCAAGTGACCAAAAAGGCTCGCGACTCAAGTACACATTTTGGCACAAGGTGATCAGGGCAGATTACAGCGACTCTAGGAGAGCGCCAATCCAGAACACGCGATCGGGTGAGGATTTTCCACCCGATCAGCACCAATCTCTACAACGGTCAAGTTTAGCATCTCGTCGAGTCCACCTAGAAGAGTGCGACCCGCCCTGCCGACGGGTACACAATGTGAGGAGGAAACAAGTGCAAGCTGAATAGGAGTACCCCCTCCGTTGGTCGCTCGTCTGGGCGCCAGTGGAGAGTCGGGATCGCCTCAAAAAATGAGCGAACCCCACTCCACCACAATGGTGCGCGTGTCCGGATCTTCTGGTGACTTGGAATTTCACCGTGAGTCCCGAGATGAAGATGTTAAGATCAAGACTGAACCTGGGATTGAATCGTCAGCGGAATTTTGATCGCCACAGACGCGCGAAGAGAAAGAATCCCAAGATGATCATAGTTTTAGGAGGGGCTATGATGACAAGAAAGTCAAAGAGGAAGATCACCAAGCTGATCTGGAAGAAAAACCCCAACCCCCTCCTGAGGTCCCTTCGGGGACCACCGCGGATCGTGCTGCAAAGCACGATCTGCCAGATGGAAATCCTTCAGTAAAAGCCGAAAGATCTTCATCCAAAACTACCGCCCAACAAAAGGCGAGGAAACACACTTCTAAGTTGGCCCGTTCAAAGACGAAGACGGCAGAGCCACATCGAAACAAGCAAGAGATCAAGGCAGAAGGTCAGGATGTGGAATCAGAAGGCTGGCAATTGGCACGGATCACCTGGGAATTCCATTGGCAACAACTGAAGAACTTCTTTCAGAAGACCCAGTCCTAAAGGTGCTAAAACCTAAGCTGATCGGGTCGATCCAAGGTCCAGTATCGCCACCGAAAGTGACCTCGAATCAGTTGGGGGCATTGCATCGGCTTATTCAGCTGCTAAGAGACGCTGGATTTACAGCTGGAGCTTTCGACGCACAAACGTTTTTAGAATTTAGTCACGATCGGGTCATCGAAGCAGGACAGCTACTATTCGAAAAGCTCCACTGACAGGGTCTCACAACCATATGACCCAACGGACTAAGAGGGGAGAAGGAAACCTGAGCCAGTGAATCAAGAGTAAAGAAGGACACCTGAGCCAGCAAGTCGAGAGAGTCAACCGACCGCAACGTGAAAGAGGAATGCACCGGGTCGTCACGCAATGCCTCGGCAGAATCAGATATGGACTCAGACGAGTCGTTTGGGATGCAGCGGATGTCTCTGGGACCGACAGGGGCAGCAATGCTTAAAAACAGGCTCGACCCGGCTAACAATGGAATACGATCGACTCAAATTCCAGCTTCACAGAATGCAAACACGGTGGAGCCAAGCCAGTTGCAAACATAATTCAAGGCCGCCATGGACAAATTCATTCGCGATCGCGAAGAACAAGGATCTAAATACCCGATCGTCCCAGACGTCGAAATAGAGTCAGTAAACACAAACCGCGATCGACCAGGAGAACATGATTCAGATTGCAGGGGACCATATGATCTAAGACGACCACAAGTAATAACTGCAGGAACCGCCCTGACGGGAGGTTGCAGCGCACAGAGGATTAGATTGTCGGCGATGTCCGATCTGAAAGAATTTTCAGGACGTGATCAAGACGAAGAACGTGATAAAGGTTGGTTTAACAAGATGAAGACTGCCTTTCTAAGCGATCAGGCTCCAGACGACATGAAATGTCTGGAATTTTGAGACGTGCTCACACAACCTGCCCGAAATTTGTACAGCCAGTTGAGCCGATCGACCCGCGATGATTGGAAGTCGTTGTCATAAGGCTTCATGGTCCGATATGGAGGATGTGGAATGTCAGCTGGAAGACAATACTACCACGCACGGAAGAGACCGAATGACACTCCGTTGGAATACTTGGACCGGTTGAAGGTAGAAGATATGCGAGCAAAAGTGGCGTTCAGAGATGGATCGCCAGCAAGATGACGTGAGCATGTAGAACACTTCATTGACACTTTGTATGATCGAGAGTTGGCGAAGCAACTGACCCTATTGCGAGTGCATGATGCTTACGCGATGGAAGAAACTTTACGCGCTTATCAGCGTTTGAGTTTTCGACAAAATAAGGATCCGACTGACTCAAACAAGTACCGATCGCGATCGGCTACGACGCCAGCCCAAGTATATTCGAAGACACCACGGAAGGTGAAGGCCGTTCGTGCAGAAAGTGAGGAAAGCGACTCAGGCTCAAGTTCGGACGATGAAGATGAAGAAGAGTTTCACCGTAAGGTTTGTGTGACGACTATCACTGATCAGGCTGAAGACCCAGGGTATCAACGAGACAGATCGCGAAAGACAGACCGAGATGATGATCGCGATGGGGGCGGAGTTGCGAAAGCCTGCACACACTGTGGCTCGAAAAAACATGACGATCGCGGATGCTGGAAAAGATTGACCTGTCAGAAGTGTGGTCGAAAAGGGCAACCCTCGGACAAATGTCTAAATGTATGTTTCGCTTGTATGGAAGTTCACGAGAGCGGCCGATGTCCCGTGGAAGAGTTCTACAACCTGATCCGCAAGTTGTAAGTCCCATACAATCACGCAGGGCTACTAACGACCAAGGCAGAAGAGATGTTAAACTAGGACGCTCGCCAGGATGGAATCTGACACGAGCCGAGCGTTCTAGGCTATGCACATATGCATTTGTGGAGCAGGGCAGGATCGATCAATGGAGAAACAATCGGATCGACCCGACCGCTACTACATGTTGTTTGGAACACCATCGGTTGTG